GGACGATCTTAAAAGGGCTATAACTGTTAAGGAATCAGTCACTTTTGAATCGTAGACAAGTGTTTCACCAAAGAAATAATACTTTGGATAAAGCTAGAATTTGAGATGAAAAATCGGGTTACTGATAATCAAGAGACCAAAAGATAATAATAGGCTTTCTGAGAATAATAATAAAACAGTAAACAAGTTTTTATTTCAGTAAGATGTCCATGATGCCCTTTTTCCCAATACAACTTCCTCCTTTTATAGTTGATTCTAGGTAAAGGAATGAAACCTAAGCTTTAATGAGACAATTATGGACAATAAATGACACTAAATGAGCCGTTACACAATCATTCCTATTAAATACCAATTTTCTAACGTATCAGGTATTTAATACTGAATTTGGACTCCTTTTTGTCTTCAGATCCATGTCTTCAATGCCTTTCGACCCACTGGCTTTAAATGACTTGAATTGGTACGAGATTCGTGTCTAAACTGCTTCTCGTGCCTATTTCACTTCCTCTTCCCGTAACTGTCATCTCCCGTACCTTTTTCTCAATTGTTACGCTTTGACCATTTGTCCAGTCCACGTGTCGCGCCACGTTATCTTCAATATAAATCCAACTTTTTTTTTCCCAATACAGATAGTCCCCCCACTTTCCATTTATTTATCAATTAAATAATTGGGAAGTGGATCTTCATAAAAAAGGAATTTTTGCCACAATTAATGCGTATGACAATATTGACGTCTCAATTGTCTTTTCCATTTAATGTTCTGTCCATGTGTCACCTTTTGATTGATTCTGCTATTTTGCACCCTTTTTCAAGGCTTCGTTACTCCCACTATTCACGAAGTGATAGTTGCCTTTATTATAGACTTTCCATCATTACTCTTCTAAGTTTGACGGTTGTCATCATATACATACTTAACCTTTTCTTCCTTTGTCTTCTTCTCCATAAATCTTTAGCAAACATTTTCCTTTCTTACTTTTGCTCTCCTTCGATTCATCTTTGCCCAACAATGGCGTCTCCAAACCCTAACCCTAAAAGAGTTCCAATTTTAGACAAATTTCCCAATGCTCCTGTTAGACATAGAAGAGACAGAGGAGGCAGACTTCGTACAGGGTTAGAATCTACTCGAGGCGGCTCTTCTGGTTCTTCTTCTAGGAGTTCTATTCTGAAAACTCCTTCTTCTAAAGGTAAAGAAATTCCTGATTCTTCTCGAGAACCTTTAGTTGATGAAATCGTACCAAATGATTTATCTTTTGTAAGTGATAGGCAATCTCTTCAAAAGCAAGTTGCTGGTTTAGAAAAAACTGATACTTATCCTACAGTAGTGACCGTACTTACAATCCCTACCATCAGAGGAGATTGTANAACTTCCATCATTATCTCGTGCCCCGCGTATGTTTCGATCATTCGCAAACCTCGATGAGGAGCCTGACTCCCTGTTTCTTGATTTTTGATCATATCGTTGATTATCCTGTTTTGTTCGTGAATCTTTTCCTACAGGACTCATATAAGGATCGTACCTGTTTTTACCTGATCTTTTTTCAGTTTCAGATCTCCTTGAACTGCTTCTTTCTTCATGTTGAAATCGAGGCACGGTATCTTCTTCGATTCGCAACTTCGTACTGTACCTGTTATACACATCATTCCACGTGGTTGCAGGGAACTCTCGAAGGCTTTCTTTAAGTCTTCTCGTGGCTTCAGAACTTTTAACATTTAGATTGCTCGCAAAAGCTATTGCAGCTCAATTATCTGGTACGCGGGGTAAAGTCATTCGTTCACGTTGGAACCTATCAACAAAATCTCTGAGCAACTCTGTATCCCCTTGATTGATTTTAAAGATGTCCTCCATTCTTTTTTCAACCTTTTGTGCTCCTGAGTGCGCCTTAATGAAAGAATCTGGATTCATTTCTCGTAGTTCAATGGGGGTTCCTTCGTTTGAATTCACAAGGCCAGAACGAGGATTCTCCAGCGTATTGTTATTAGGCGAAGGTGTGGACGGCGCAGCAGGTAACCGGCTAACTAGCGCTTGAAGAGCTTGGCTAACCCGTGCATCAATTATTCTTTGCAGAGCTTCTTCTGGTCCCTCAAAATGTTCTGATTGCTCTTGCTCATCAGCATGTGATTTAGGAGTGCCTTCACGAGATTGACGTGGTGAATTTTGAAGGGAAGGAACCGCGTTAAAGTTCTGCAAATTTCCTTGATCTTGATGCATTTGATTTTCACGGTTTCCCAAGGTGTTTTCACTGTTATTATTGTCGTGTGACATGATGATAACAACAGATAGAATGTAACTTAAAAAGAATAGATTATCAGATTCCCGGTAACGGAACCAATTTGTTTCACCAAAGAAATAATACTTTGAATAAGCTAGAATTTGAGATGAAAAATCGGGTTACTGATAATCAAGAGACCAAAAAATAATAATAGGCTTTCTGAGAATAATAATAAAGCAGTAAACAAGTTTTTATTTCAGTATGATGTCCATGATGCCCTTTTTCCCAATACAACTTCCTGCTTTTATAGTTGATTCTAGGTAAAGGAATGAAACCTAAGCTTTAATGAGACAATTATGGACAATAAATGACATTAAATGAGCCGTTACACAATCATTCCTATTAAATACCAATTTTCTAACGTATCAGGTATTTAATACTGAATTTGGACTCCTTTTTGTCTTCAGATCCATGTCTTCAATGCCTTTCGACCCACTGGCTTTAAATGACTTGAATTGGTACGAGATTCGTGTCTAAACTGCTTCTCGTGCCTATTTCACTTCCTCTTCCCGTACCTGTCATCTCCCGTACCTTTTTCTCAATTGTTACGCTTTAACCATTTGTCCAGTCCACGTGTCGCGCCACGTTATCTTCAATATAAATTCAACTTTTTTTTTTTTTTCCAATACAACAAGACGAAAAGCAGCACATCTTAGGAGGGTTCTTAATGAAGTCAACGTCATATTGGACCTTGAAGCTTCTGCAACTTCTGTTCCAGAGCCATTGTGGAATCTCGAGCTCGTTAAAATTGAGGAGAAACTATGGTATTTTGTTTGTCTCTACCATAGGAAGTGTGATTGCCTATGGAGTCATGATCTGTTACTTCGCCTACTACACATCTTCCCCAGTTGCTTAGCTTTTCTATGTAAAGTCTTTCAATAAATTTGTTTTGCTTTTCATTCAACAATTTTATTTCATACTATATACAAATGTCTTTCTCTTCGGTACTATTACCTTCCCCATGCTGCTTAGCTTTTATATGCAAAGTCTTTTCATTGCTTCTCTTTATGTAATGTCTTTTCATTATTTTTTAACTATGGGGAAGCATAAAAAAAAACCATCTTTCCATTGTTTAGAATATATTAACACAGTATTTTCTTATATAAGATATGTCTCTTTTCAGACTTTTTTCTTTTTTTCTTTATCTTCCTCCTAGTTTTATTCATCTTACATTAATTTTACTTTGAGAAATGGGTCGATCTGAATGTGTCCTATGAGTCTTTTCTTGATTTTTCTGGGTTCCGTGTAGAACTTAAGATGCCTTTTAAGACCACTTAGCCGTGTTGATTTGATATTTTTTGAAATATTGCCTTGTTGATTTGATGTTCTTTTGAAATATTAGAAAACAAATGAAAGAAAAACTTTTACGAAATGGCTTCCTGGCCACTTAAACTTGCATCAGTTTGTAAAGCCGATATATAAACTCTTGAGTTTCCCATTTGAACACATTTACTTGAAAAAATGGCTACTAATAAACACTTGTGATGGTGCGTGTTGTTCAATTGCTATTGACATGGATTTAATTTAATATTTTATGTAGCCATACATCATCAATTCATTCACATTTTGTTGACATCTGTATGTTCAAGGTCCCAATTTGTGGGCCCTGTCCTTTTCCAAAATTAATTTATTAAATTTTTATTCTTTCTTCTCTTTCCCTTCTTTTATTCTTCACCTCCCAGGCACGAACCGTAAACAAAAGCTCTGATAATGGAGACTATAAACATAAGCTCCGATAATGGAGACTAAGTTCAATCGAATTCTGATATATGCAAGACTTTATCAAAATTCTGATACTCCATAAATTCCATATAAAAATTCAATCACAATTAAGTAAAGAAGTTTTCATTTTCATTGAAAGTAAAATATAGGAATTCTTAAACCTGCAACTGTAAAGAGCAAGAAAGAAAATAAAATAAACGACCTTGTTGAATTGGAACCATTCGTAATAAGGAGGATCAAAAATACCCTCAACTTCAGATTTGCCTTGACAAGGAAAAGGTGCATCAACAAAAACAAGATCCAATTTTTCTACAACTTGAGTTGGCCATTTGCCAAAGACTTGTTTCTTAAGAATATGGCCACTGGTTCGAAACCCATGAAGACAAAGAAATCTGGGTCTCCTCTGATTGGTAATGTTGTTGTTCTTGACATCACCTTTACTTCCGATGGTTATTGGAGTTTGGTGTTGATATCTTGAAAGGAGTTACGGGAGTGCGTTGGGGGTGTGCTAAAGTTCTGAGCTTTTTCCTTTGTTTGGGTTGTGTTCTATGTTTTGCTAGAAGTGGCTATGGTAGAATAGAAGGGGGAGGGAGAAAGGGGAGGGGGAGTTTGGTAGGGAAGACGAAGGGAAAAGAGAAGGGGAAAGGGAAAGGTCTCTTTTTTCTTTTTTAATAGAACTAATAATATTCACGCAACTTTGTAGCGTGATTTGCACACAATTTAGCCATGTCAGTTGTGCCGCTTCCACATAGACATAGTCAATGGTCAAATGTGTTTATTAGTATTTATTGCATCAAGTTGGAGTGTTCAAATGGGAAAAGTGCAAGTTCATGTATCGGCTTTTAAAAGTTCTACAAGTTTAAGTGGTCAGGAAGTCATTATGCCAAAAACTTAAATTTAAAAGTAAAAGATGAGATATATGAACACAATTTTATTGAGAGACGGATGTGGAAAGACAAATAAGGAAATTATTTAACTTTCCTTTTATCAAATAAATATAATGGCCCCATAGAGAAAATCTCATTCATATAGCAGAGCGGTTAATCCTGAAGTGCTTCGAATGTGTAAAGCTGAACCTTCCTTTAGCAAGGTAAATAGCTATTTGTTTTTCAACTAATTTCTTGGAGCTCGACCATTAGCTTCTTCTGAATACCACTATTGAGTTTGATACTTCTTCTCATCTTCCTTTTATATTTTAGGTACTCCTTATCTTCCTAAAGACTTCCGTTCAAATGTTTCTGCTTTGGTTGCTCTCAAAAGAGACCATACCAAGCTATATCCGGCTATTATGGATTTGTTGAAACGCACAGACGAGATTTTTAGCTCATTCAGAAGCCAAATTGGTGTTGGATTCATGTTTTCTGGAGTAGGAATATATTTTCAGAACACAGTAATCCTTTGTGATGCTCTCATTGAATTTGCCGTGTCAAATGTTGCTGCCTTCTATGCAACCACTTCTGTGATGTATATCAATTTAACACAATGCATCCTTGCATCAATGATTTGGACGATCAAAAAGGGCTATATCTAATAAGGCATCAGTCATTTTTGAATCGGAGACAAGACGAGAAGCAACACGTCTTAGGAGGTTTCTCAATAAAGTCAACGTCATCTTGGACCTTGAAGTTCTGCAACTTCTGTGATAGACCGGTTCAGAACCATTGTGGAATCTAGAGCTGGGTTAAAACTGAGGAGAAACTATGTTGTTTTATTTATCTCTACCATATGAAGTGTGATAGCCTATGGAGTCATGATCTGTTACTTGGCCTACTACATACTATAAGTAATATCTTTCATACTTTAATAAATTCATATGTGTATTAGGATGTGGCCTTTGTTGGGAAATTAAAGCTTTCTAATTGGTTTTTTCTATTTGTGTACAGATGGTAACAATGGTGCAAGTGTGAGTGCATGGAAGGAGTCTTATATGATGGATCGGATGTGGTTTACTGTTTTTGGGTTTTAAACATTAAAAAGTAACACTTAAACTTAGTCTAGTGAGCTTGTTTATTTGAGTATTTTTAATTAGTTTTAAAGACTAGTTACCATGTGTGATGTGGTACTTATTAATCCGTGTTTTATATTGTGTTACCTTTTTAAATAGCGTATGCAAATTTTTTTTGGAAGTAAGTCTGTGCACATTCTTTTACAGTAGCAAAGTTATATGTTTTTAATTGAGTTACTCCTATTAAATTATTGATTAACCAGGGCCTTTTCTATCATCACTACTTATAAGTAATATTCTTGGAGATAATTCGATGAGCATAATTTATAGTTTCTACGTTAAAAGATGCATGCAATTACACTCAATGTTTGATAAGCATGATTTATATAATCTATTATCAGAAAATATTGAACTACACTTAATAAATTAGATACTGCAAAACAAAATTAAGAAAAGAAGATTAAGAAGATCAACTCAGTTTTAAGGCAGAATAGCCTAATAAACATTTCTATTTGTCCCGCTTTGTCATCCCGGTCCCGGTACTCTACGAAGTTTCATCCAGACACTTGTAATTTTCAAAACACATTATTGTAAACCCCTCTGACCGTTGACCAAACATATGTGGCAACTTCATGGCTGAGTTGGACAAAATACGTGAATTTCACGTGTATAACGACAGTAAGTATAAAAAAGTTAAACTAAAAATGATTATAATAAGAAGAAAAAATAAAAAGAATAAGTAAAAGTAAAAGAATAAAAGAATAATATAAGAAAAAATTAAAAACCATGTTCTTTCTTCTTTCCCTCATCCCCTCCCCCATTTCTTTTTCTCTTTCTTCCCTTCCCCTTTCCCGTTCTTTCCCACCCATTTTCTATTTTTCTTTTCTCTTTCTTATCCTTTCCTGTTATCCCCCCCCTCCATTTTTCTTTTCACTTTCTCCCGTTATTCCCGGATTTCCCAATTTCACAAACCTTCGGTCAATATTTGAGAAAAAATAATAAATCTTTTTTGAAGGACAACCACCATTAATGTTTTTGAGATGAATTAGATCTATGTCCATTGAATGTTTTTGAGGTGTACAATGTAGAATGTGGGCATATGGATTCCTTTTTATCGGCTACATCACGCCTCTTGAATGTCTATTACGAAGGCACCTGCATTTTTTCGACCACTATTTCTGGAAAAAAATTTGGACTGAAATCTGTCCAATGATGAGGAGTTTCGGTGGTAAAATTTTCTGAAAGGGAGATGGACAATGGAAAGTTGGAAAATTGTGGGTTTTAGTTGTCCACCGTGGTGCTTCCGCCGGTAAAGGCGGTAAATCGTGGTGTTATTTCTGCTCTAAAAAATAGACATAGGTGGTCAAGGGTGGGGGAGGAGCGAAAAAAGGAAAAAATTAAATTTTTAAAATTAAATTAAAAAATAATGATGTGTCATTTAAAATCTGATGTGGACTATGATGTGTCATCCACATCGTGTGTTTGAAGAACACGCGAGGCCAGAGGGGTTTAAAATAATGTATTTTAAAAATTACAAGTGTCTGGATGAAACTTCGTAAAGTATCGGGACCGGGATTGTGACGATCCAACCCGTCGTCTCATGTATTACAGCCCCGCTTCCCCCATTTATTGCTCTTTCATTTTTTATTATCAGCAACGGGTGAGTTAGAGTTGAATTGAATTGGTTTGGATAGAAAATGAGACACTTAGTATCTTTAAGGAAGGTTTGGTTTGGAAAAGTCAACCGAACGTTGACTTATTAGTTAGAAGGTTCGGATGTGAATTCCGGTTAGCTTCGGGAGGTGATTTGTGACTTAGGAGTGCGATCGGAAGTGATTTTGGAGGTCCGGAGTAGAATTAGGCTTGAATTGGCAAAGTTGGCATTTTGGCGAATTCCGGTGGATAGGTGAGATTTTGATCCGAGGGTCGGAATGGAATTTCGAGAGTTGCAGTAGCTCCGTTAGGTGATATTGGATATGTGTGCAAAATTTTAGGTCATTCGGAGGTGTTTTGGTCGGGTTTTTGACCGAATGCGTAATTCGGATTAAGAAACTTAGGCTTGAATTCGATGTGATTTGATGGTTTTAGCGTTGTTTGATGTGTTTTGAAGATTGAAACAAGTTTGAATAAGGTATTAGGATGTGTTGGTGTTTTTGGTTGAGGTCCTTTTGAGATACTTAGGAGAGTTGGGGAGTTCACCCGGTATTTCATGTTTCTATGCTCCAGAAGTATGTTGGGGACCCGTCCCACGTGTTAGACTTCAGCACGGTTCAGTTGGATGATGACTTGACTTATGATGTGGAGCCAGTGGCTATTTTGGTTCGTCAGGATCGGAGATTGAGATCAAAGGATATAGCTTCGGTAAAGGTGCAGTGGAGAGGTCGGCCCGTAGAGGAAGCTACTTGGGAGACTGAGCAGGAGATGCGGAGCAGATATCCTCACCTATTTAAGACCTCAGGTATGCTTCTCGACCCGCTCGAGGACGAGCATTTGTTTAAGTTGGGGAGGATGTGACGACCCAACCCGTCGTCCCATGTATTACAGCCCCGTTTCTCCCATTTATTGCTCTTTCATGTTTTATTATCAGCAACGGGTGAGTTAGAGTTGAATTGAATTGGTTTGGATAGGAAATGAGACACTTAGTCTCTTTAAGGAAGGTTTGGTTTGAAAAAGTCAACCGAACGTTGACTTATTAGTTAGAAGGCTCGGATGTGAATTCTGGTGATCTGGTTAGCTTCGGGAGGTGATTTGTGACTTAGGAGTGCGATCAGAAGTGATTTTGGAGCTCCGGAGTAGAATTAGGCTTGAATTGGCAAAGTTGGCATTTTGGCGAATTCCGGTGGATAGGTGAGATTTTGATC